ATTCCGGCCACGCACTCCAGCCCTGGTGGTCTGAAGAGTCGAGACCTTCCCCCCCCCGGTATCTCGTCTCAAAAAAAACAACATAATAAAAATAAAAAAATAAAAGAAAGTACACCTAATTGCCAGGCCGGTGGCTCACGCCTGTAATCCCAGCACTGTTGGGAGGCTGAGGCGGGTGGATCACAAGGTCAGAGAGTTCAAGACCCAGCCTGGCCAAAATGGTGAAATCCCGTCTCTACTAAATATACAAAAAATAGCCAAGTGGTGGTGGACGTCTGTAATCCCAGCTACTCAGGAGGCTGAGGAGGAGAATGCTTGAACCCAGGAGGCAGAGGCTGCAGTGAGCCGATATCGTGCCCACTGCACTCCAGCCTGGGTGACCAAAGTGAGACTTCGGGGTCCGTCTTCCAACTGAGACTGTCTCAAAAAAAAAAAAAAAAGTACACCTAATTGACAAACAACAGGGTTATCACAAGAACACTCGTGAGCAAGCTCTTTGGCTGGAAGTGTTATCTACAGAGGGAAATATTACTGGGCCTCAGACTTCAACAATTCACGGATTCTAGCACAGTCTCACAGCAGTGGTTTCAGACAGCTTTTGTTTTCGCTTTATTGCACAGACTGTCAGATTTATGGGATTACCCAATATAGTCAAACTAATTAGGGGTATTTATATTACTAAAGCAAGTTTAGCTGCCTCTGAGCTAGAGAAAACTGCTGTGAAATTAAACATTGGAAGCAAAACTGATGCGGTGTAAATGATTCAAATCAAAACAGAACAGCTGTCTGCTTGAAACACATTGACAGCATTTTTTTTTAATGAATCAGTCAGAAGAGTTCAACTCCAGAAGGCTTTGAGGAAAAGCATGTCTTCTGCACAACCTAGTTACAGTGACGGAAAGCACCATAAGGAAAAGCCAAAACAAAATTTTTGCTACAATACACAATATGAAAGACCTTTTGGGCAGGCATGGTGGCTCACGCCTGTAATCCCAACACTTCAGGAGGCCAAGGCAGAAGGAAACACTTGAGCTCAGGAGTTTAAGACCAGCCTGGGCAACTTAGCGAGATCCCGTTTCTACAAAAAAAAATTAAAAAATTAGCTAGGCATGGTGGCACAGCACCTCCTGGTGTGTGTACCCAGGTTGGCTGAGGCGGACGATCGGCTTAGCCCAGAAAGGGGTGGAAGACTTGCAGTGAGCCATAACCACCTATTGCACCTCCAGCGTTGGGTGACCAGTAGACCCCCTGTCTGCAAAAAAAATAAAAATACACAAAGAGCTTTTTGATGTGCGTTATTCAACTCGCGCTAAGAAGGTCAATATTGGCGTGCCGCAGCCCGCGCCCGGTGGGCTCAAGCCTGTAATCCCAGCCACTCCTTTGGAGGCCGAACTGGCGGAGTGCACATGAGGGTCAGGAGATCGAGACCATCCTGGCTAACACAGTGAAAGCCCCCTGTCTTCGTACTAAAAAGATTACAAAAATATAGCCGGGCTAGGTGGTGGGCCGCCCTTGTGTCCCCCCAGCTACTCGGGGAGGCTGAGGCAGGAGAATTGGCGTCGAACCCCTGGGAGGTGGAGCCTTGGCAGTGAGGCGCTGAGATCCGGCCACCTGCACTGCCAGCCCTGGCGACACAAGGCCATAGACTGCGCCGCCGTCTCAAAAAAAAAAAAAAAAAAAAAAAAAGGGTTCAGTATTAACGCCCCAGTTCCAATCCTTTTAATCTTCAGTAATTCCTTTCTCTGGCATTTTCAAAACCACTGGCATCTCTTGTTACACGAGTATTAAAAGCCGAGCCAAGCAAAGTGCAGGGTCAGAAATTTGGGATTCGAAACTCAGGTTAAAGGCCGAGAACCTACAGGCTTCTGACCACTATACCCAACACCATCTTCTGATACATTTGAAATCAAGAGAGCCCTTCTCCACTCTTCCATCCCATCATCAATCCTCCGCCTACAAATCCACTTTTGTAAGGGAAGCTCATCGAGTTTTCCATAAATAAATTATCTGAGATGCAGGCCACAAGCTCACGCTCAACGCTGTAATCCCAACAAGCTTCAGGAGGCTCCAAGGGCACGGGTGCATCAACTGAGGTCAGGAGTTAAGACGGCTAGGCGCCAGCCCTGGCCAACATTGGCAAACCCCATCTCTATACAAAATACAAAAAAAAATTTAGGCTGCGGGTGTGGGGTGGCACCCTATTGAGTCCCAGTTACTGGTGACGCGCTGAGGCATGAGACATTGCTTGAACCAGGAGGGCGGAGTGGCAGTGAAGCTCCAAAGATCGCACCAATGCACTTCCAGCCTGGGAAGACAGTCAGACTTCTGACTAAAAAATAAAGTAAAATAATTTTTTATAAAATTCTTTTAATGCAGTGGCAAAAAAAAAAAAAAAAAACCTCAAAAAACCAACCTAGATTCCCTAACCTCACATGTGAAAGAACAACAGATAAAATTAAAAACCTTAAGTCCAGTCCTGTTGGTGACATCCTTTCACTTTTTTTCTCCTTCTGCAAGGTCTCTATCCTGGGGCTATTAACAGACTCTGTTCGTCTCTGTCGACTAGCCTCCCGGGGCTGTTTCTTGCAGGTGAGTTGCAACGTCAAACTGTTTCAACCTAAACATATCTCCAGGCACAATCCCTTGTAAAGGCACTGGCCGTTTTCTAACCACCCACAACGACAACGGACATGGCATGGTTAACAGACCTGTCCCAACCCCACGAAACCTTTCAACCACATTTATTCCTTCCCGCTTTTTCTTGGTGTCAAAAAAAGACACATTGCTTGTTCTGTTGCTTTCCCCTGGAAAATCCAGCAGATGGAGGCTCTGATTTAGTCTTTCAATTTTCTAGAACACGGCCAAAAATATGTCTCACTTCTATAATCAGATCTCTTCTGGGGTACAAAAAAAAAACTGCAAAAGTATTTAACCATTTCACATCATTATTGCCAGCCAGCAAAAGAACTTGCTTTATTCTTTTAAAGGAAACGATCCCAACACATATCAGGTACCTGGGCGCACTCTCCCAGGATGCACTTAATCACTTGTTAACAGGACGGGCGCCGGCCGGCGCGAGTGGCTCACGCCTGTAATCCCGCACCTTTGGGAGGAACCGATGGCGGGGCGGATCACGAGGTCAAGCGGGATGATTCGGAACCATTCCTGGCTTAACACAGTTGAAACCCCATTCTCTAC